TTTATGTCTTTGCCATTGTATTTGAACTTAAGCCAAACTAGCGGCTGATGATCTGTTTCCAATTCGAATTTTCTGCTATAAACGAATGGCCTAAAGTAATTTAATGCCAGAACTATTGCTAGGAGTTCTTTTTCTATGGTGGCATATCTTTCTTCATGCTCATTCTGCGTTCTACAGCAACTTCTGCAGACAGCTCCGATAGCACGATTAGTTGCGTCCGAAGTGTTTTTCATTTTTCAAATGAGTCAATGTTTTGTGGATCTTTCAAATTTATTCTGATGTCTTTCTTTAGATATCTAGTCAAGCCGTAGGCAATTTTTGAATAGTTCTTCACGAATTTCCTAAAATATCCCGTGATACCTGGAAAAGATTTTATTTGCCTCTGTTGTTTTGGTAATTGGAGTTTTTGAATGGTCTGTATTTTTGCTGTACCTAGTTTAACTCCCTCTGTAGTCAATACGTGCCCTAATACTCTGTTGTTTTAACGAAGAAGTTACATTTATCTATTTGTAATTTTAAATTATGTTTTCTCAACCTTTCGAAAATTTTATTTATGCTTGTTACATGCTCTTCTATAGAAGTGTTAAATATTAGGACATTGTCTAGGTATACGACGCATATTAAATCTCTTCGCATCCTTTTGAATTCATAATGCCGAAATGTGTGGAAAATGTTTTCTTTCGGTCATTTATATTTATTATAATTTGGTGAACCCCTTTTGCTAAGTCGAAAGTCGTGAAGTACTGAGCTCTGCCCAAATTTTCAAGAATACTTTCTTTGTTTGGCATTGAAAATTTATCGTCTACTGTAACTTCGTTCAGTTTCCTGTAATCAATAACGATGCGCCATTTTTTTTGTGCTGAATTATCTAATTTTTTGGGCACAATCCACAAGTGTGAATTGTAAGGTGAGTTACTCTCTGTAATTATACCGCGATCAAGCATTTCGGCTATTTGCCTTTTTATTTCCTGGTCGTGTATTTGGGGGTACCTGTATATTTTGAAATATATGGATTTATCGATTGTTGTAACAATTTCGTGCTGTATTGTGTGGGCATGGGATAGGTTTTGCCCTTCCTGAAAGAATAAATCGCTTTTTTTTGATACGATAATTTCTGCTTCCTCGGAATTCGTATCCTCTCTAATTATCTTTTTATAAAGTTTTTCATCGGTATTAATTGTTTCTAGTGCATGTACTTCGTTAATATTAAATGGGCATGTACCAACGATTTCGTTCGTAAGTTATTAATTTCGAGGTATTCGTCCTCAAGGTTTATATGTGCCTTTAAGGGTGTAAGGATATTATTACCTCCCTTCAAAATTTTTTTGTTTTGAGATCTGCGAGCTTCCAGCTCATTTGGTTTTCGTCATTAAATTCTTTCGGTAATTTCGTATTTAACTTGAGTTTACCCGCTTAAGGTATTAAATGTAAAAATATTTTCTAGCATTATTCGCATATATTGTGGTAAACAGAATTTGTTTAATAATGATGTCGTTGCACCAGTGTTTAGTAAACACCTGATTTTATCTTTGCCTATAGTGAGTTCTACTATCGGTAAACACGTCGATGGGTGGCTAAGTGAAAATTTGTCTACCTCCATCTGCTCTGGTGCGGTGTAATTGTGTCCCATTTGTCTGGATAAACGATCGGGTTGCCTATATTGCCTGGAGAAGCGATCATGTTGTCCCGATTTATGATAATTTTGCCTGTATTGTCCCGAGAAACGGTCCTGTTGTCCTGAATTATAGTAGTGTTTGCTGTTTTGCCTTTGGGATTGATCTGATGGCCTGAAGTTCTAAAATTCTGTCTAAATTGTATTGAGTTACGTGACTGTCCATCGTAATTATTATCGTATCGTGAAAGTAAACCTGTTTCTTCGAGTGTATATTAGGTTTCCCTCCGACTATTTATATTCCTACTATGAATGATGCTACTCAATGTGGAGTCTATACCGTTCAGAAATGTTTTTAAAAATAATGATTCATTGACGCTAGGAGAACTCTACAGGTCTTGTTTGATTGAATTCATACTTGTTATTTAATTTATCTAAAATACTTGTAGACTTTAAAGTATTGTAGTAATTTCTTACGTTGGTATATTTTATACGAGTGGATTGGTTATAAAGGCTGTCTCCTCAACTCCGAAGTGTTTTATTAATTCCGCTTTGATTTCGTTCCATGTTTCAGAGCGACCCAGTGTCCTAATAACTTGAAACGCTGCTCCCTGAATTTTGGTCCAGATGTGTCTCTCGAAGATGAACTGCTTAAGTGCCGAGTTATCGTCGAATAGAGGAAGAATAATTTCGACTTCTCTCAAGAAGGATGAGAGGTCATATTCCTTATTGATGCCATAATAAGGTTTAATTCTTGCGGCTTCCTTTATAAGCTCTATAAGGATATGTTATACTTCACTTATTTGGTTTTATCTAAATTTTATTTTTATTTTTTTTTGGCACTAGGACGTAATTTTGGTTATTGTCCTTTCTTATGTTTTTTTCACTCGGACTAAATTTTGATTGTAGTCCTTTTGTATATCTTAGGATATATTTACCGCACTAAGACATAACTTTGGTTATTGTCCTTTCTTATGTTTTTTCACTCGGACTAAATTTTGATTGTAGTCCTTTTGTATATCTTA